GTGTCGTCACTGTTGTCACTTTTGTCAGTGTTCCTGCCATTGTCACTGTTGTCGCTCTAATCGCTGTCGTCACTGTTGTCGCTTTGTCACTGTTGTTGCCGTTTTCACTGCTCTTGCTGTTGTCACCATTGTCACCGTTGTCATTGTTGTCGCTTTCGTCACCTTTTTCGATGTTGTCACATTTGTCACTCCTGTCGCCGTTTTCACTATTGTCACTATTTGCACCATTGTTGCTGTTGTCATTGTCATCACTGTTGTCACTGTTGTCATGGTTGTCGCTGTTGATGCAGTTGTCTCTGTTGTCGCTGTTGTCCTTTCGTCAGAGTTGTCGCTCTCATCACTTTTGTCGGTTGTTGTCACTGTTGTCGCGGATCTCACTTTTGCCACTATTGTCACTATTGTCGCCATTGTCTGTGTTGTTGCTATTGTCACTGTTGCTGCTGTTGTCCCCCTCTTCAATGATTTGGCTGTTGTCGCTGTTGTGCTTGTTCCCGCTGTTGTCACTGTAGTCGGTGTTGTCACTGTTGTGGCTGTCTTCACTAATGTCACTTTTGTCACCTTTGTCATTGTTGACAGTGTTCTAACTTTTGCCACTGTTATCGTCATTGTCACTGTTGTTGGTGTTGTCAGGATCGTCACTGTTGTCACTGTTGTCGCCGTTGTCACGGTTGTCACCGTAACAACAGTGGCAATGGTGACAACAGTGACGACGGTGAAAATAGTAACAACAGCGACAACAGTGACAACGGTGACAACAGTGAAAACAGTGACAACAGTGACAACAGTGACAACAGTGAGACCGATGACAACAGTGACAATGGTGAAGACTGTAAAAACAGTGACAATAGTGACAGCAGTGACAATGGTGACAACAGTGACAACAGTGACAACAGTGACAACCAAGATAACAGTGACAGCAGTGACAACGGTGACAATGGTGAAAACAGTGACAACTGTGACAATGGGGAAAACAGTTAAAACAGTGACAACAGTGACAACAGAGACAACGGTGACAACAGTGACAACAGTGAGAACATCGACAATAGTAACAACAGTGACAATGGTGACAACGGTAATAACGGTGACAAAAGTGACCAAAGTGACAACGGTGACAACAGTGACAACGGTGAAAACAGTGACAACTGTCACAATGGTTAGAATGAGGAAACCGGTGACAACCATGACAACAGTGACAACAGTGACAACAGTAACAACAGTGACAACGGTGACAACAGTGACAAGGTTGACACCAAAGACAACATTGACAAGGGTGACAACGGTAACAACAGTGACAACGGTGACAACAGTGACAAGAGTGACAACAGTGACAACGGTGACAATGCTGACAACGGTGACAACGGTGACAACGGTGACAACAGTGACAACAGTGTCAAGGTGACAAGTGTGACAACAGTGACAACAGTGACAACGGTGACAACGGTGACGAGGTTGACAATGGTGACAATGGTTACAACACTGACAAAAACAGTGACAACAGAGAGAAAAGTGAGAACAGTGACAACTGTGACAACAGTGACAACAGTGACAGCAGTGACAACGGTGACACCAGTGACAACGTTGACAACGGTGACAGAGGTGACAACAGTGACAACAGTGACAACAGTGACAACAGTGACAACAGTGACAACGGTGACAACAGTGACAACAGTGACAACGGTGACAACAGTGACAACAGTGACAACGGTGACAACAGTGACAAGGTTGACACCAATGACAACATTGACAAAAGTGACAACGGTGACAACAGTGACAACGGTAAAACCAGTGACAACAGTAACAACACTGACAACTGTGACAACAGTGACAACCGTGACAGCAGTGACAACGGTGACAATGGTGACAACAGTGACAACAGTGACAACGGTGACAACAGTGACAACGGTGACAAAAGTGACAACTGTAACAACAGTGACAACGATGACAACGGTCACAAGGGTGAAAACAGTGAAAACGGTGAAAACAGTGACAACGGTTACAACGACGACAACGATGAAACCGGTGACAACCATGACAAAAGTGACAACAGTGACAACGGTGACAACAGTGACAAGGTTGACACCCATGACAAAATTCAAAACAGTGACAACAGTGACAACAGAGACAACGGAGACATCGGTAATAAAAGTGCCAACACTGACAACTGTGACAACAGTGACAACAGTGACAACTGTGACAACAGTGACAACAATGACAGCAGTGACAGCAGTGACAACGGTGACAATGGTGACAACAGTTACTACAGTGACAACAGTGACAACAGTGACAACGGAGACAAGGGTGACAACAGTGAGAAAACTGACAACAGTGACAACAGTGACAACGGAGACAACGGTTACAACAGTGAGAAAACTGACAACAGTAACAACAGTGACCAAAGTGACAAGGGTGACAACAGTGAAAATGGTGAAAAGAGTGAAAACTGTCACAACGACGACAATGATGAAACCGGTGACAACCAAGACAAAAAAGACAATAGTGACAAAAGTCACAACAGTGACAACGGTGACAACAGTGACAAGGTTGACACCAATGACAACATTGACAAAAGTGACAACGGTGACAACAGTGACAACGGTAAAACCAGTGACAACAGTAACAACACTGACAACTGTGACAACAGTGACAACCGTGACAGCAGTGACAACGGTGACAATGGTGACAACAGTGACAACAGTGACAACGGTGACAACAGTGACAACGGTGACAAAAGTGACAACTGTAACAACAGTGACAACGATGACAACGGTCACAAGGGTGAAAACAGTGAAAACGGTGAAAACAGTGACAACGGTTACAACGACGACAACGATGAAACCGGTGACAACCATGACAAAAGTGACAACAGTGACAACGGTGACAACAGTGACAAGGTTGACACCCATGACAAAATTCAAAACAGTGACAACAGTGACAACAGAGACAACGGAGACATCGGTAATAAAAGTGCCAACACTGTGTGTGACAACGGTGACAAAAGTGACCAAGGCGACAATGGTGAGAACAGTGACAACGGTGAAAACAATGACAACTGTCACAATGGCGAGAATTAGGAAACCGGTGACAACCATGACAACAGTGACAACGGTGACAACAGTGACAAAGTTGAGACCAATGACGACATTGACAAGGGTGACAACGGTAACAACAGTGACAACGGTGACAACAGTGACAACAGTGAAAACAGTGACAACGGTGACAATGCTGAAAACGGTGACAATGGTGACAACAGTGACAACAGTGACACCAGTGAGAACAGTGAAAACAGTGACAACTGTGACTACAGTGACAACAGTGAAAGCAGTGACAACGGTGACAACAGTGACAACGGTGACAACGGTGACAACAGTGACAGAGGTGAAAACAGTGACAACAGTCACAACGCTGACAACTGCGACAACAGTGACAACGGGGACAAATGGAACCGCAATGACAACGGTGACAACGGTGACAACAGTGGCAACCGTGACAACGGAGACAACGAAGACATCGGTAAAAACAATGCAAACACTGACAACCGTGACTACAGGGATGACAATAGGACTACAAGGATGACAATAGTGACAACAGTGAGATTGGTGATAATGGTGACAACAGTTACAACAGTGACAACAGTGACGACCGTCACAACAGTGACAACTGTGGCAAAAGGGACAACCGTGACAACAGTGACAATGGTGACAGAAGTGACAACGGTGACAATGGTAAGAAACAGTGACAACAGTGACAACAGTGACAACAGTGACAACCAAGATAACAGTGACAGCAGTGACAACGGTGACAATGGTGAAAACAGTGACAACTGTGACAATGGTGAAAACAGTTAAAACAGTGACAACAGTGACAACAGAGACAACGGTGACAACAGTGACAACAGTGAGAACATCGACAATAGTAACAACAGTGACAATGGTGACAACGGTAAGAACGGTGACAAAAGTGACCAAAGTGACAAGGGTGACAACAGTGACAACGGTGAAAACAGTGACAACCGTCACAATGGTTAGAATGAGGAAACCGGTGACAACCATGACAACAGTGACAACAGTGACAACAGTAACAACAGTGACAACGGTGACAACAGTGACAAGGTTGACACCAAAGACAACATTGACAAGGGTGACAACGGTAACAACAGTGACAACGGTGACAACAGTGACAAGGTTGACACCAAAGACAACGTTGACAAGGGTGACAACGGTAACAACAGTGACAACAGTGACAACGGTGACAATGCTGACAACGGTGACAACGGTGACAACGGTGACAACAGTGACAACAGTGTCAAGGTGACAAGTGTGACAACAGTGACAACAGTGACAACGGTGACAACGGTGACGAGGTTGACAATGGTGACAATGGTTACAACACTGACAAAAACAGTGACAACAGAGAGAAAAGTGAGAACAGTGACAACTGTGACAACAGTGACAACAGTGACAGCAGTGACAACGGTGACACCAGTGACAACGTTGACAACGGTGACAGAGGTGACAACAGTGACAACAGTGACAACAGTAACAACGCTGACAACAGTGACAACTGCGACAACAGTGACAACGGGGACAACGGGAACAGCAATGACAACGGTGACAACGGTGACAACAGTGACAACAGTGACAACGGAGACAACAGAGACATCGGTAACAACAATGCCACCACTGACAACCGTGACTACAGTGACAACGGTGACAACTTTGAAAACAGTGGAAACGGTGACAAGGATGACAAGAATGACAACAGTGACATTGGTGACAATGGTGACAACAGTTACAACAGTGACAACAGTGACAACAGTGCAACGGAGACAACAGTAACAACAGTGACAATGGTAACAACAGTGACAATGGTGACAACATTGACAAAAGTGACCAAAGTAAAGAGGGTGACAAAAGTGAAAATGGTGATAAGACTGACAACTGTCACAACGGCGACAATGATGAAACCGGTGACAACCATGACAAAAAAAGACAACAGTGATAAAAGACACAGAAGTGACAACGGTGACAACAGTGACAAGGTTGACACCAATAACAACATTGACAACGGTGACAACGGTGACAACAGTGACAACAATGACAACAGTGACAACAGTGACAACAGCGAAAACGGAGACAACGGAGACACTGGTACCAACAGTGCCAACACTCACAACCGTGACAACAGTGACAATGGTGACAATGGTGACAACGGTCACAACAGTGAGAACAGTCACAACAGTGACAACGGTGACAATGGTGACAACAGTGACAACATTGACAACAACGACAACAGTAACAACGGTGACAACTGTGACAACAGTGACATTGGTGACAACAGTGACAACGGTGACAATGGTGACAACAGTGACAACGGTGACAACAGTGCCAACAGTGACAACAAGGACAACAGTGACAACGGTGACAACTATGACAACAGTGAGATTGGTGAGAACAGTGACAACGGTGACAAGAGTGACAACAGTGACAACAGTGACAATGGTAAAAACAGTGACAACGGTGACAACGGTGACAACAGTGAAGACAGTGAAAAGAAGACAACTGTGACAACTGTGACAACAGTGATAACGGTGACAAGAATGAAAGCAGTGACAACGGTGACAACGGTGACAAGGTTGACAACGGTGACAATAGTTACAACAGTGACAAAAGTGACAAAGGTGACAAAAGTGAAAACGGTGAAAACAGTGACAACTGTCACAACGGCGACAATGATGAAACCGGTGACAACCATGACAAAAGTGACAATAGTGCAACAGTGACAACAGTGACAACAGTGACAACAGAGACAATGGTGACAATGGTGACAATGGTGACAACGGTGACAACTGTGACAACAGTGACAACGGTGACAACTGTGGCAAAAGGAACAACCGTGACAACTGTGGCAAAAGGAACAACCGTGACAACAGTGACAATGGTGACAGCAGTGACAACGGTGACAACAGTGAAAACAGTGACAACAGTGACAACGGTGAAAGCGGTCACATCAGTGACAACGCTGACAACAGTGACAACAGTTACAACTGCGAAAACAGTGACAACGGTGACCAGCAATGACAACGGTGACACTGGTGACAACAGTGACAACAGTGACAACAATGACAACAGTGACAAGAGAGACAACAGTGACAATGGTGGCAATGGTGACAACGGTGACAACGGTGACAACCGTCCTAACAGTGACAACCGTGACAATGGTGACAACAGTGACAATGGTGAAAACGGTGAAACCTGTGACAACAGTGACAACGCTAACAACGGTGACAACGGATACAACTGCGACAACAGTGACAACGGTGACCAGACTAAAAGCAATGACAACAGTGACAACAGTGACAACGGTGGCAACTGTGACAAAAGGGACAACCGTGACAACAGTGACAATGGTGACAATGGTGACAACAGTGACAACGGTCACAATGGTGATAACAGTGACAACGGTTACAACTGCGACAACAGTGACAACGGTGACCACAGTAACACCAAGGAGAACGGTGACAACGGTGACAACAGTAAAAACAGTGACAACAGTGACAATGGTTAGAACTGTGACAAAAAGGACAACGGTGACAACAGTGACAATGCTGACAATTGTGACAACGGTGACAACACTGACAACAGTGACAACAGTGGCAACGGTAACAACAGTGACAACGGTGACAACAGTGACAACAGTAACAACACTGACAACTGTGACAACAGTGACAACCGTGACAGCAGTGACAACAGTGACAACAGTAAAGACGTTGACAACGGTGACAACAATAGAGGATGTTAGCATGGACAACGAGTACGAGTTCTAGAACGAGATCAGCGATTTTGCGTACTGCGCATCCGTTCTGCGCATCTCCACGTTTTCAAGTCGTCCTTTCAAGTTGCACTACGACGAGTTCTCACTAAAAACTCGAAGTGGGTAGAACGACTGCGAAGAGCTGGTTTTCAAAGGTAAATTCCGATCGTTTAATGCAGTTTCTTTTCGTTTCTAGCCTCTCTTTATCATCTTTAACATTCCTTATGATGTTTTATGTAAAATACTGCTTTTGAAGTCGAGGAAAAGCAACCGAACGCGATATTTCCTACACAGGGTAAATTTGCATTTACCCGGGAAAGTTTCATGTCTCTCCACAGGCCTCACAGGCTCATGAAATAACTTCGAAAATTGCCATTATTTGGTCGACAATATCCCAACAGTCGAAGATATCAATAAAGAATACTTACTTCTTTATCCAGTGTGGTTGCTGTGTTGAATTTGATGGGTTTTAGCGTGTTTTAAGACCGCGACTAACCATCCTTCGAGTTACCTCGAAAAATCGATTAACAAGCAGTCTTGAACGTTTTTTAGAGTCATTTTTTGTTTTTGAAATTGTTGTGGAAGCGCTACCTCGACTCAAATTTGGCGCCCAGTCATGCGAAATCCCATAATTTTATTTTCTATAAACTCGAACTCGGTGTCATCGCTAACATAGAAAGCTGAGAAAACGACTTCGAGTACGAGTACGGCTTCAAGTCGTTCTCGTATTCGTACTCGTTGTTGATGCTAACATCCTCTAATGACAACCGTGACAACAGTGACAATGGTGAGAATGGTGACAACGGTGACAACAGTGACAACATTGACAACAGTGACAATGGTGACAATGGTGACAACAGTGACAACATTGACAACGGTGCCAATGGTGACAACAGTGACAACCGTGACAACAGTGACAACGGTGACAACTGTGACAACGGTGACAACAGTGACAACAGTGACAACGGTGACAATGGTGACAACGGTGACAACGGTAACAACAGTGACAACAGTGAAAACAGTGACAACAGTGACAACGGTGACCACTGTGACAACAGTGACATTGGTGACAACAATGACAACGGTGACAACAGTGACAACAGTGACAACGGTAACAATGGTGAAAACAGTGACAACGGTGACAACGGTGACAACACTGACAACAGTGTCAAGGTGACAAGTATGACAACAGTGATAACAGTGACAACGCTGACAACGCTGACAAGGTTGACAATGGTGACAATGGTTACAACACTGACAAAAGTGAAAAGGGTGACAACAGTGAAAACGGTGAAAACAGTGACAACTGTCAGGACGGCGACAATGATGAAGCCGGTGACAACCATGACAAAAGTGACAACAGTGACAACAGTGACAACGGTGACAACACTGACAACAATGACAACAGTGACAACAGTGACAACGGTGACAATGCTGATAATGGTGACAACGGTGAACCCGGTGACAACAGTGACACCTGTGACAACAGTGACAACTGTGACAAAAGGGACAACCGTGACAACAGTGACAATAGTGACAGCAGTAACAACAGTGACAACGTTGACAAGAGTAAAAACGGTTACAACTCCTACAACAGGGACAACGATGACCACAGTAATAGCAATGACAACGGTGACAACGGTGACAACAGTGACAACAGTGATAACAGGGACAACTGTCACAAAAGGGACAACCGTGACAACAGTGACAATGGTGACAATGGTGACAACGGTGACACTAGTGACAACGGTAACAACGGTGAAAATGGTGACAACAGCGAAAACCGTGAGAACAGTGACAACAGTGACAACAGTGACAATGGTGACAAAGGTGAAAACAGTGACAACAGTGACAACAATGACAACAGGGGTGAACAGAGACAACAGTGACAATGGTGGCAATGGTGACAATGGTGACAACAGTGACAACCGTGACAACAGTGACAACCGTGACAACTGTGACAATGGTAACAATGGTTACAACAGTGACAATAGCGACAACGGTGACAACGGCGACAACAGTGACAACAGTGACAAGGGTAACACTGCTGACAACGGTGACAACGATGACAAGAGCGAAAACGTTGACACCAGAGAAAACAGTAAGAGGGATGACAACCGTGACAACGGTGACAACAGTGACAAGGGTGACAAAGTGACAACAGTGACAACAGTGAGAACAATAATAAGGGTGACATCAATGACAATGGTGACAACGGTGACAACAATGACGACGGTGAAACCGCTCCCAATGGTGACAACGGTGACAAAGGTGATAACAGTAACAACGGTGACAACAGTGACAACGATGACAAAAGTGACAACGGTGACAACTGTGACAAAAGGGACTACCATGACAACAGTGACAATTGTGACAACAGTGACAACGGTGCCAAGAGTAACAACCGTGACAACAGTAACAACGGTGACAACTGTGACAATGGTAACAATGGTGACAACAGTGACAATGGCGACAACGGTGACAACGGCGACAACAGTGACAACAGTGACAAGGGTAACACTGCTGACAACGGTGACAACGGTGACAACGATGACAAGAGCGAAAACGTTGACACCAGAGAAAACAGTAAGAGGGATGACAACCGTGACAACGGTGACAACAGTGACAAGGGTGACAAAGTGACAACAGTGACAACAGTGACAACAATAATAAGGGTGACATCAATGACAATGGTGACAACGGTGACAACAATGACGACGGTGAAACCGCTCCCAACGGTGACAACGGTGACAAAGGTGACAATAGTAACAACAGTGACAACAGTGACAACGGTGACAACAGTGACAGCAGTGACAACAGTGGCAACGGAGACATCGGTAACAACTGCTAACACTGACAACCATGACAACAGTGACAATGGTGACAACAGCGAGAACAGTGACAACTGTGACAACAGTGACAACAGTGACAGCAGTGACAACGGTGACAACAGTGAAAACAGTGACAATGGTGACAACGGTGACAGCGGTGACATCAGTGACAACAGTGACAACACTGACAACGGTGATAACAGTGACAACAGTGACAACGGTGACAACTGTGACAAAGGTGACAACAGTGACAGCAATGATAACGGTGACAACGCTGACAACAGTGACAATGGTGACAAAGGTGACAACAGTGACAACAGTGACAAAGGTGACAACGGTGACAACAGCGACAACACTGACAACACTCACAAAAGAGACAACAGAGACATCGGTAACAACTGTGCCAACACTGACAACCATGACAACCGTGAAAACAGTGACAATGGTGACAACAGTGACGACAGTGAAAATAGTGACAACAGCGACAACAGTGACAACGGTGACAACAGTGAGACCGATGACAACAGTGACAATGGTGAAAACTGTTAAAACAGTGACAACAGTGACAACAGTGACAGCAGTGACAATGGTGACAACAGTGACAACAGTGACAACAGTGACAACCAAGATAACAGTGACAACAGTGAAAACGGAGACAATGGTGACAACAGTGACAACACTGACAACAGAGCCAACGGTGACATTAGTGACAACAGTAAGAACATCGACAACAGTAACAACAGTGACAATGGTGACAACAGTGACAAAAGTGACCAAGGCGACAAGGGTGAGAACAGTGACAACGGTGAAAACAATGACAAGTGTCACAATGGCGAGAATTAGGAAACCGGTGACAACCATGACAACAGTGACAACAGTAACAACAGTGACAACGGTGACAACAGTGACAACGTTGACACCAATGACGACATTGACAAGGGTGACAATGGCAACAACAGTGACAACAGTGACAACAGTGACAACAGTGAAAACAGTGACAACGGTGACAATGCTGACAACGGTGACAATGGTGACAACAGTGAGAACAGTGACACCAGTGAGAACAGTGAGAACAGTGACAACTGTGACTACAGTGACAACAGTGAAACCAGTGACAACGGTGACAACGGTGACAACGGTGACAACGGTGACAGAGGTGAAAACAGTGACAACAGTCACAACAGTCACAACGCTGACAACTGCGACAACAGTGACAACGGGGACAAATGGAACCGCAATGACAACGGTGACAACGGTGACAACAGTGACAACAGTGACAACGGAGACAACGAAGACATCGGTAAAAACAATGCCAACACTGACAACCGTGACTACAGGGATGACAATAGGACTACAAGGATGACAATAGTGACAACAGTGAGATTAATGATAATGGTGACAACAGTTACAACAGTGACAACAGTGACGACCGTCACAACAGTGACAACTGTGGGAAAAGGGACAACCGTGACAACAGTGACAATGGTGACAACAGTGACAACGGTGACAATGGTAAGAAACAGTGACAACAGTGACAACGGTGAAAGCGGTGACAACAGTGACAACGCTGACAACAGTGACAACAGTTACAACTGCGAAAACAGTGACAACGGTGACCAGCAATGACAACGGTGACACTGGTGACAACAGTGACAACATTGACAACAATGACAACAGTGACAACAGAGACAACAGTGACAATGGTGGCAATGGTGACAACGGTGACAACGGTGACAACCGTCCTAACAGTGACAACCGTGACAATGGTGACAACAGTGACAATGGTGAAAACGGTGAAACCGGTGACAACAGTGACAACGCTAACAACGGTGACAACGGATACAACTGCGACAACAGTGACAACGGTGACCAGACTAAAAGCAATGACAACGGTGACAACAGTGACAACAGTGACAACGGTGGCAACTGTGACAAAAGGGACAACCGTGACAACAGTGACAATGGTGACAATGGTGACAACAGTGACAACGGTCACAATGGTGATAACAGTGACAACGGTTACAACTGCGACAACAGTGACAACGGTGACCACAGTAACACCAAGGAGAACGGTGACAACGGTGACAACAGTAAAAACAGTGACAACAGTGACAATGGTTAGAACTGTGACAAAAAGGACAACGGTGACAACAGTGACAATGCTGACAACTGTGACAACGGTGACAACAGTGACAACAGTGACAACAGTGACAACGGTAACAACAGTGACAACGGTGACAACAGTGACAACGGTGACAACAGTGACAACTGTGACAACGGTGACAACAGTGACAAGGTTGACACCAATGACAAAATTCACAACAGTGACAACAGTGACAACGGTGATAACGGTGACAACAGTTACAACATTGACAACGGAGACAATGGGGACATAGGTAACAAAAGTGCCAAAACTGACAACTGTGACAACGGTGACAACTGTGACAACAGTGACAACAATGACAGCAGTGACAGCAGTGACAATAGTGAAAACAGTGACAACGGTGAAAAGGGTGAACTCAGTTACTGCAGTGACAACAGTGGAAACAGTGACAACGGTGACAATGGTGACAACAGTGAGAAAACTGACAACAGTAACAACAGTGACAATGGTGACATTGCTGACAACAGTGACCAAAGTGACAAGGGTGACAACAGTGAAAATTTTGAAAAGAGTGAAAACTGTCACAACGGCGACAATGATGAAGCCGGTGACAACAAAAAAGACAATAGTGACAAAGGTCACAGCAGTGACAACGGTGACAACAGTGACAAGGTTGACACCAATGACAACATTGACAACGGTGAGTACGGTGACAACAGTAACAACACTGACAACTGTAACAACAGTGACAACCGTGACAGCAGTGACAACAGTGACAACTGTGACAACAGTAAAGACGTTCACAATGGTGACAACAATAACAACAGTGACAACAGTGACAATTGCGAAAATAGAGACAACAGAGACATTGGCACCAACAGCGCCAACACTGACGAACGTGAAAAAGGTGCCAACGGTGACAATGATGACAACAGTGACAACAGTGACAACGGTGACAACAGTGACAACCGTGACAAGAGTCACAACGGTGACATCAGTGACAAGGGTGACAACAGTGACAACAATGATAAGGGTGACATCAATGACAATGGTGACAATGGTGACAACAGTAACAACGATGACAATAGTGACAACACTGACCACAGTGACAGCAGTGACAAAAGTGACAACAGTGACAACCGTGACAACGGTGACAACAGTGACAACGGAGACAACGGAGACAACGGAGACAACTGAGACATCGGTAACAACTGCTAACACTCACAACCATGACAACAGTGACAATAGTGACAACAGCGAGAACAGTGACAACTGTGACAACAGTGACAACAGTGACAGCAGTGACAACTGTGACAACAGTGACAACAGTGACAATGGTGACAACGGTGACGGCGGTGACATCAGTGACAACAGTGACAACGGTGACAACAGTGACAACAGTGACAACGGTGACAACTGTGACATAGGTGACAACAGTGACA